TGTCAGCTTCACACCCTGCATGGGGCTATGGACTCGTGCCTACCTCTGTTGGAGCCAGATAATCATGGGTAACCCCGCAAAGAACTATGGGTACCCCCACAGAGAACCATGGGTTACTGCAGAGAACCTTGGGTAACCCTGCAGAAAATCATAGGTAACCCCGCAGAGAACCATGAGTAACTCCACAGAAAACCATAGGTATCCCCACAGAGAAACATGGGTAACCCCACAGAGAACCATGGGTAACTTCACAGAGAACCATGGGTAATCCCGCTACTCTGAAGTATGGTGGAAAAATCCAGATTAGGAGAGGCTTTAGGAGAAAGGTTTCTCAGGAGAACCTTAGGAAAAGAGGGCTCTCAGGAAAAGGGGTGTCACCATCACTGGGGTGCAGGTTGGACTGGAGATGGGGTGAGGCAGGCATAGCAAGGGTCAGAGGTACCTTCAGAGAAAGCATTCAGTTTCAAAGACATATAGGTTTGAGCAGACCTGTGCTTTGACTTATTTTAAAGAATTTGTGATTTAGACCCATGGAAAGGCTAGTTCCATAGCTTAATGTCGGTGGAAAATGAGTAAGACAATGAATATGAAAGTGCTGAGAAACTCTGTATCTATAAACATGAATCCTTAAAATCATCTTATCTATCAGAGGCCTGGAATTCATGAGATTGACAGAAGGAGCTGGGAGGAGCCCAAGAGGTCATGTCAATTCCTGATTGCATCTCAGAGAGGCTAACAGAGCAATCTCTTGAGGTTTCTCTTGGGGGTCCTCTTGAAGAAAAAGAGGTCAAAATGCAAGTCCAATGTGAATAGAAAAGCAGATGTTTATTTAGCATGAGACGTTCCAACAAGCTGCATATTCCCTAGGCATCTCAAAAAAAAAATCCAAGAAATATGACAACTTCAAAAATAATTATTATTGACTGTTCGCTGCCACACATCTCTAATATATTCATCCTACATGTTTGGGCTGTGTATTCTTTGATTTCCTCTTCATGGGACAATAATTTTGCTTTATTGTTTTCTATAGCAAGACTGGAAAGATAACTCTGTCTCTCCCGTAAACATGTTGATGTCCATTTATTTTTTTCTGGTGGACGGTTTGCTACGAGTTTACTTTAGGCTTCTCTGCTTTGGATTGGTGAGTCTGAATGGGAACTGTGTTCTGCTGTGAGCTGCTCTGGAGAGGGGGGCCTCACCCTGGCCCATGCCCTCACTCTGCCAGGCTCACAGCTGTGTCTTTAGCTCAGCCACACCTGACCTACCTTGATGTTCTCCATCTTTCCCCACACCGACGTTTCTTCCTGTCCAGTCCTGGATATGGCAAAGTGGTCCTGAAGCCTGGGTGTAACTTCTGAATGGGAAACTGTGCTGCACCTTCTTCCCAGGGTGCAAGTGTTTGTATGTGGTGGGGGGACTTTGTTGAGGTCTTCAGGAAATAGGTGGGTGACAGACTACAAGGCAGGAGCGAGGCTGCCGTCAAGAGAGCGTGCTGGGGCATGGATGTGGATGTAAAGAGAGCAACCAGGGCCTCCTGGCTTCTCTAGAGGAAAACAAATCCTAATGGGGAAAGGCCTGCACAAAGTGTCGACCCTATGGGCCTCATCAATGGGTGGGTACTCCATCATTGTATGACTGAAATGCAAGCACAAACGTTTGTAAGTCTGTAACTGTTCCTCATGGTGATTCTCTAATAAAAACAAACAAACAAAAAACCCCACTCTTCTTATCTCAAGTTAGAATTTTCAGGGATATACCCAAAGAGGCCAACTACCATTCTTATTTGGTCTCCTAAGCAGTGCTCAGGAGGCTTGCAGCTTCCACCCAGTTATACATGACCAACCTGACCATTGGTTCAATGAAAGGACCCTGAGATATGGTGCTGCTCGGGCCCTGCAGTGCCAGAGATTACATGGGTTACCCTGGCAGTACTCAGGGGCCATTGGCACACAGCAGGATTTAGCAACCCTGGATTGAGATAAGCTGGAGTCTGCCAGTATGACCTAGATGGCCCCATCAGGAAATGTGAGGCTCCTCATTCCCACAATCCCAGTCCCTCATCCTCACTCTTGAGGAAGTTTCTGATGTTTGTTTCTTGAGTTCATGGTCTGGCAGGATCAGAGTTTCCAGGTTCTCTGGGTGCTTTGATCAGGCTCAGCTGGGGCATGTCTCTTTCCACATGGAACTGTGCATACTTGCTTGAGGATGATGGAGACCCGTGGCAGGTCAAAGGTGTGTAGAGGCATGCTTGAATTATTCACCCAGGGGTCACCCTCTATCCTGATGGGCCACACACACAGCTGCTTTTTGGGGGGTGGGTTGTTTGGGGCCACGCCTGTCTGTGCTCAAGGTTTACTCCTAGATATGCACTTAGGGAACTAGATCTTGCACTCCTGGCAAACTTGGGGAACCATTTGGGATGCTGAAGAACAAAACTCGGTTGGCTGTGTGCAAGGCAAGCACCGTACCCACTGTGCTCTGGCTCCGGCCCATAACTGCCATTGATAAGTACCTCCTGTAGACCGTGACTGAGCTCTGCCATCCCCTTCAGCCCAGACAGGGAGGCAGATGTGAGCACGCCACATGCTGCCTGAGAAAGTGAAGGCCCGGGCAAGACCACAACTCCTGGGGGCACAGCCAGTCAGTGGCAGGCACAGGATTCAGAGTCAGGTGGCAACTGTGAAATTGCGAAGCCCATAAAACAATGGCACACTGCATCTATAGGGAATCCTGGGGCATCTCCAGGGGGGTTACCTCATGCGCCAGGTCTGGAGGGTGAAAAGCAGTGGGAGAAGCATCTGAATGGGGCAGGCTGTGGTCAGTGAGCCTTTGAGTGAGATTCCCAGTTTTTCTGGGCCTGCAGATATTCCCATGGGAGCAGGAGGCGGGCTGGGGGCTGCAGGGGTGGCTGTCCTTAGGTGCGGATGGTTCTGAAGATAGATCCCACACTAGCCAACAGCAACCCGCAATTCCACAAAGCTGCCTGGACTGGGAGCAGGAGGCAGTCTCGGGACATACTGGGCTGATAATGGGAGCAGAAGGGCCAGACCTGGAGGCTCAGTTTGTCAGCTTGGCTCCTCATGCCTGCATCCCAGCTCAAGGGCCTACTCCTCTCTCTCTCTCTCTCTCTCTCTCTCTCTCTCTCTCTCTCTCTCTCTCTAACCTTAATGAACCCTCTGATGCTCACTGTCTCATATTTCCTAAAGAAAATAATTTTGGGGGCCAGAGTGATAATACAGCGGGTAGGGCTAAGTCTTATTAGAACTAAGTCTCGCATGTGGCCAACCCAGGTTCGATCCCCAAGCACTAAGCACAGGAGTGATCCCTAAGTCTAAGGCCAGGAATAATCGCTGTGCATCAAGTTTGCCTCAAAAACTGGAAACAAGAACAACAACAAAATTATTTTTCTACACACACACACACACACACACACACACACACACACACACACACACACACAGAGCTCTGCAATCCCTTAAAATATGTGGATGAGAATCCTTGGGTGACAGACACAGAGGCACAGCCGGGATCCCAGGCAGCTCCTGTCCCCACTCCAGGGGTGCAGGCCTCTTCCAGCTTTGGTCAGGATGGTTCTATCCCACGGACCACGCTGTGAATCACCAATTCTTCATTCTGTCTAGTTGTTCTCAGACAAGGAATGCTATGAGAAAGATAGGCCCTGGGAGTCAGGGCCAGGACATGCTTGCCACACTGCTGTTTCCCTGAGGTCTAATGGACACAACGGAGGGATGGTGTGGCAGATCCCGTGATGCAGTGTCTGCCTGATGCACTTAGTAGGCACTTCCGCTGCACCAGCCTCTATGCGGAGGACGACATCAGCAGGGATATAGGGATATACGTTGACCAGGGGGCACCTGTCCCCAGGGGTGTGGTGGGGCTGCTGAAAAGACAGCTCTGAACTCGGCTTGCCAGGGAGGAGGTTGAACCTTGCTGTTTTCTGCTCCAGGAAGGAGGAACGGATGGTTCCACAGGTCTCTTTCCACCTGCCCCACGTCACTTACCCAGGGGCGTCTCAGACACACCCGCCATAGCAGGTGCAGATAGGAGCCAAGATCTGACCCAACGGGTCTCCTGGGGAGCTGCCCGCAGTGGACACTGGATGCCCCCAGTCACCTGCCAGATGCTGATGGAACGAGAAAGTGATATAACCGGCTCTTCCCTGGGGCTCGAGGGGCAAGGCTGTCCTGGTGACAGGTGTGCCTCACTAAAGTGGCTTATTACTCACCACTGTCATCCCCAACCCCACCTGTTGCTCTGGGTGACACCCGGCCCCCCCTCGGCCTGGTGCCAGGCAAGCACTTTGAGTAACCTCCTCCAGCCTCTGGGGTCCTAGGCTCACTCTCTGTTCCTGCCCCCGTCAGCCCCTGGCCCTGGCCCTCCTGAGCACCCGACTCCACTCCACTATTAAAATCACACTTCAAACTGTCATTTTCTTTTTAGTTTTTAATCAGCCTGTGTCAAGAGAAAAAAAGAAAAGAAAAGAAAGAAATCCAAACCAGGATGTTCTGCTGCCACCCCTCGAGCAGCACGGTAATTTTAGGGATCAGAGTTTTGTTTATCTTTGTCTAAAATCCAAAGGAGGAAAGGAATCATGTGCACAGATCAAGATGTATTTGAAGAGAGACAATGGGGCTCAGGAGATGTTCCAATTAGCCACTTTCTTAGGAATAACGCCCATCGACCTGTGCCAGTGGAAGGCAGGGGGCCAGAATGGAAGCGGAAGGGGAGAGCTGCCTGGGGTTAGGAAGTCAGCCTGTGAACCCAGCAGGGCAAAACAAAAGGGGGTGGGGACCTAACCTCACATTTTATTTGGAGGAGGAATGAGTTTACAGGAACAATTTCTGTTTTGGAAAAAGAAAAGTACAGCTGTGTCTGGGAGTGGGGCAACAACCAGTAAACTGGAGAGAGGCTCATGATCAATCGCCAGGGAACTTGTCAAGTGGTGAAAAATTATAAAAATGGCAAAACAAAACATTAGCTCGGTTACTTTCTCCACCATGAGATGTATTTGAACACATTCTGACCAACTGTAAAGTCACAAGGCTTATCCGATGCCTTGGCTCCAAGTACTAGACCATGAATACAAATACTGATGACATTTCACCAAAGGACGGCACCAAGTCCATGAACTCCACTTTCTGAGGGGACCTCCAGAAATCAGAGTGGGCCCGAGTCTCTCCTTTCTTGCCTGGACTGCCACATGCTGCGTCGTTCTTGGCCGTCCTTCTTGGCAGCTCCATCCAGCTGGAGGGCGACTCTGCCCAGGTCGCAGGAGAACCTGCCCTTGGGCAGCCTGCAGGGGTCACTCTGCTGCTCTCCCAGCAGCTCCACACAGACTTCCCACAGAGGCTGATCTATCCTAAGCTGGAGTCCGGAGACAGTTTGAAGCAGATTTTAGAAGAGAATTTACATAATGTGGCATGCTTTCAGAGGAGGCAGATAGTACTCATAGCATAAGTCAACGGGGTGTGGGGTTCAGTGGGATGTGTATGGAACGGTGCCCTACTCTGAAGCACAAGACACACAAACACCTTCCTTTGGGACCGTCCAAGGGCTCATGGTTGTTGTCCCTGGGTCTTGGCAAATCCTTGAGTCTCACTGAAAAGCACAGTCACTGAAACACCCATAAGCCTCGCTGCTGAGTCTCAAGTGGAACCAGGTGAGTCACTGTCCCCATTGGAGATGTCAGAAAACGTCCTCCATTCCCCAGGCTGTGTCCTTCGGTGGTCTCACTCTGGGGCACAAGGTGCCCATCAACAAAGGAGTATCGAAATCATTGGGAATCTGCCTGGCTATGGATCTTCATCCATTAGAGGGATCTCTGTAAAGGAAGGAGACGGTGTTAACTTCATGCTCCAACATGCTGTGACCTTTAGAATGACGACCCTATTCAACGGTCTGTGATTCCTGAGAGTGAAAGGAAAGAAGAAAATGCGAAGCACCACCAATTGGGCAAGAAACTAACTCCTCTAGACAACACCCGTTCTCTGAAAAATAATCTGACTAAAAAAAAAAGTTAGATAAATTTTGAACCTTGTGATGAATAGTCCTCTAAGTCAAAAGGTGTAAAGGGTCAACAGAAAAGGTGTGCAGAAAAGGGAGTCCTGGGGCCGGAGAGATGGTACTGCAGGTAAGGCCTTGCATATGGCTGGCTCGAGTTCAATCCCCGGCACCCCATATGATCCCCTGAGCACAGCCAGGAGTGGTCTCTGAACGCAGAGCCAGGAATAACCACTGAAAACAGTTAAGTGTGGCCCCAATATCACTGTCACTGTCTGTCACTGTCCTCCCATTGTTCTTTGATTTGCTCGAGCGGGCCCAGTAACATCTCCATTGTGAGACTTGTTGTTACTGTGTTTGGCATATCGAATACGTCACGGGTAGCTTGAGCTTGCCAGGCTCTGCCATGCGGGCGAGATACTCTCGGTAGCTTGTCGGGCTCTTTGAGAGGGGCGGAGGAATCGAACTCGGGTCAGCCATGTTGGCTGACTGCAAGGCAAATGCCCTACCCGCTGTGCTATGGCCCCAATACAGCAAAACAAAAAAAACGGAGGTGCTCCAGGGAGAAACAGACCCCTCTCTCTGTTCCCCACACCTTTGTACCTTCATTACACCTCACTGCCCCTTCCTCTCTACCATGTGCCTTTCCTGGGGACAGGCAACTGACTGGGTGCCCACCTGATGGGAGTAATCTGTGTGCACTGAGAACTTCTCTGGGTCTCTCGGGCAAGAATTTGCAAGCATGTGTGTGTATATGTGTATGTATGTGTGTGTCTGTCTGTGTGTGCATGTCTGTGTATCTCTGTGTGCCTGTGTATGCATGTGCAGGTGTGTGTGTGTGCATGTGTGTGCATGTGTGTGTGTCTGCTTGTGTGTGTGCATGTGCATATGTGTGTATGTGTATGTGTGCGCGCGTGTGTACGTGTGTGTGTGAGACATTCTGTTCCTAACACCCCTTTCAGAAGCTCTGTCTAGCTGAGGGCTGAAGAACAAAACCACCCTATGTACCAACCACTCTCCTGGTCTTCCTCTTTGCTGTGCTGTGGTGCCCTTTTGTGCCCCCAGAAATTTCAGCTAATGGGTTTGTGAGAGGAGGCTGATCCTTCAGTAACAGGCCTTACCCACAGCCTCTCCACATGAAAACACAAGAAGCAATTTGCGGCAAGAGCCAGGAAGCACTGATTCAGCTCGGAGCAGAGGGGCGAGGGCAGAGGTGGGGGCCGAGCGCTGAGGTGGGGCTGGGTAGGGGTAGGCACTTACCATCTGCGATGTCGATGCCTGGGCTGGTGGATGCCACCTCCCCCGCCGTGTTGGACACTGTGTCCGCGTGGTCGGAAGTGGGGTGGGGGCCCCCTGGGCACGTGGGGGGCGAATAAAGACTCTGGAGCAGTTCGGAGGAGCCCGAGAGGCTGTCGCAGGTTTCTGACTCCCCGGGGCCTGTGTCCGTGTCCCCCGAGCCGGGGTATGCAGGGGGGCTCTGGTCATCTATGGGCAAGGGGCAGCCCTGGCCCACGGAGGCCAGGTACCCGGGGCCTAAGGCACTCAAGCCGCCACTCACAGCCTCGTCGTAGGACGGGAGCATGACGGGCACCCCGTCCACCACCACGAAGTCAGGGTCGCTGCTGGAACTCCGGGGGGGTCCCCTGTAGAAGGGAACAGCCAACAAGTCAGACCAGCCAGGATGGTGACCACCAGTGCCCCTGACTGCAGCCACTGTCTCTGCACTTTCTCTCCTCGCCGCCTCCTGCCTCCACCTGTGCCCCCCAACCCCAGCCCTCGCCATTGCTTCTCCACTTCCTTCCACCCTCTATTGGTCTCTTAGATGGGTCTGTCCTTGTGGCCGTAACCCTTTGGGCAGGGAAGCCACATGGCCCATGTGAGTGTGTGTTGGGGGAGGGGTACGGTGACTAGAACCCAGAGCCTCACACATTCAAGGCAGGGGTGGCCTGCTGAGCTCATCTGAGCCCGGGTGGCCTGCTGTGGGATACGAGGCTTGACAGGTTGCTGGACACGGGAAAGTACCACCCGGGTGGCAGGAAAGCCTTGGGGGCTGTGAGTGCACACAGGGAAGGGCCAGCCCCGTGTAATCTACATGCTTCTGTGTTTTGGTTGCAGTACCAAAGTCACAGTTTGGTTTGAAATGGGGGAGAGGGGTTCCCAAGAGTGCTCAGGGGCTTTCAGGACCACTCCCAGTGAGGCCTGGCTGGCCAGTGGGAGTGGGGAAGGGGGGCGGTGGTGGGGGCGGTTCAGTGCTGGGGCCTGAGGATGCAGGATGCGTTGCTCCTGCACTACAGTGCTGGGGACCCCCTGGCAATGCTCGTGGGGGCTCCAGGATCACACCTGGCAATGCTCAGTGGCCAAGAGAGGTGGACAGGTAGCCCCGGGGATCAACCTGTGGCGTCACACATGCAAGGCACATGCCCTCACCTCTGTATTATCTCCTGAGCCCTAAAAGTCACTCATTTTAGTTGACAGCTGAACACCAGGAAACAAAAGGGCAGAAATCTGAGTGTCTCCCTCCGGGCTTCTCCTACTGAAGGACACTGGGGCCTTTGGTGGGGGTCAAAGTGCATATGCAGGTGAAGGAGGGCGCTGCAGGGACAATATCCTCTTGGGTGAGGACAAGGGAGCAGGTGTAGACCACAACTCCAGTGCCCTGGACACTGACTCTGGGTGGCACCACTCACATGCTCAGACACCCTTGGAAGCAGAAGTATACAGAAGCCAGAGCTCGGGGCTGGAGATATGGTACAGCGGGCAAGGCCTTGCATCTGCCTTGCATCCTGCTCGTCTGAGTTAGATTCCCGGCATCTCCTGAGCACTGCCAGGGGTCACTCATGAGCACAGAGTTAGGAATGGTCCCTGAGTACTCTGGAAGTCCCCCCCCCAAAAAAAATAAAAACAGAACCAAGAAACAAACAACAACAACAACAACAAAAATAAACCAAAGCTGTTCTCCATCTGGTGACCCTCCTTTTGGTGACTCCCACACAGGAGCAGAAGCTGTTTGCTCACACGTCTGTGACCTTGTCCCCTGACCAGTTCTATTTCAACAGCAACCCCTTGGGTTGGGCCTCCTGGGGACCTGAACTCAGGGACAACAGCCCTGGGTGGCGTGCAGGGCTGGACTCTAGGCGCCCTTCTCACACTTCTCACAATGCTAGGCTCCAGGTGATCAGAACAGACAGGAGCTCTCTGAAATGAGCAGAAAGGGGAAATTGACACCTGTCTGCACCCCCCAGCTTGCTTCTCTGACCCCCAATATCTCAGGATATTCCAGGAAATAACTGCACTATCTCTCCCCTGTCCCTACCTTAAACCACACTTTGCATCCTTCTCTCTCTCCAGTCCAGGGGGCAAACAGGGCCCCCAAAGCCTGTCGCACTGACCTGGGGGGGAAGTGGGCCTTGAACTTGGTCTGGAACATTCGGGCCAGAATGACGAGCAGCAGCACCAGCAACACGCTGGTGGCCGTGAACGCCACGATCTTCCACGTGGTCAGGAGGGTCTCGTGAGTGCCAGGCCAAGTTTGCTCTGCCACGGGAGAGAATAGTCAGTCACAGGAGTGGGCAGATTCCAATGGCATCCTCTGCCCAGGAGCACTGTCTCCACAAGATGAGCCCCCGAACCCTGTCCCCAGCAGCCCTCTGGCAGTCAGAGAGCCCAGTCCAGCCCGTGCATTCACCTGACTTGATGCAGTACACCTGGTAGGCAGGAAACCACTCCCCGTACTGGCAGGTGATGTACTTGTAGTCACTGGTGAGGCTGTAGCCGGGGTCGCAGTAGAACTCCACCACAGTCCCGTGGTTGTAGCGCTCACAAGGCCGCGGGTGGCAGATGAAATCGCCGTGACTCACCATGGGAGGTAGCGGGCAAACTTGGGCAGTAGGAGAGAATAAGAGCGTCAGAACCACACACTCAGCCTCCCCCCAGAAACGTGCCTGCTGGAGCGCAGGGTGCAGAGAGGACCTTCTTCACTCCCCACCCCCCGACGGTCCCTTCTGTACTTCCGTGTGACCTCGGAAATATTAGCCCCCTAGAAAGCCTGGCAGCCCCCTGTAATAAATGGGGCGTGTACTGCTCTCACGAGGTTTTGTGATGTTCTTGCCAAGAGAATGCCACTTACACTGCCAGGAGTAGGCCACGTAAAGAACAACTCCATTCATGATGCAGGCCATAGGGCACCAGGCAACACAGGGAACAAAAGGAAGATTTTTATGGGCCTTTTCACCGAATGGAACAGCTACCCCAAGTCTGCTCCTGTGACTGTAGTGGGAATTCGGGGCTGTCCAGGTCCCTGGGGGCCCATACTGATTCCTGAATGCTGGGGACTAACTGGCCCATGACAAACAAGGAGCATGTCTGCTACCTCCTTGACATCCCAAATAGGTGTCCTGCCCTGGGGCCCTGACTGGAAGCGGGAGGAAAAGGCTCTGGGATGAGTATGTGACATGGGCACGGATCTCACACTCTGATTCTTGATTGGAGGAAGGGACAGCGGGGGAACTGAAGGTCACCCCTGGCTGTGCTCAAGGTTTTCTCCTAGCTCTCGACTCAGTGATCACTCCTGGTGGTGCTCGGAGGACCATGTGTGGTACCAGGCATCAAACCTGAGTCAGCCCCATGCAGGCAAGTGCCAAAACCTAGCTTTCTGGCCTTTGTCTTTCTTGAGTTTATCCTTTATCAATGGAGGTTTATTCTGCTCTAAATGCTAGAATCTCAAGCACTTTTTCCCAAAGTGGGCAATACTGCTCTACACCTTGGGGATGGGGGAGGGGGGTTCAGGAATAATGTAGTGAGAGGGAGTAGCTTCAGGTACACTTGGGAGGTGCTATCTGTTGATTTGCTTAAAGTCTGAGTGGAGTGATGTTGTTTTTAATTTTTTCTGAAAAGTGGGCAGTAGGCCAAATAAGTTTGGGAGCCTGTGGCCTACAGGGCATCTTCCTGTTCTTCTGATTCAAACAGTCCATAATTTTAGCGGTGGGGGTGGTGGTGAGGTGATTTGTTTTCAGTTTCATCTTTTTCTTTTTTTTTTATTTATTGAATCAGTGATCATCCATGTCAAGAGAGGGGTTCGGCAGGGTGATACCATTTCACTGAAACTCTTCAGTGCCACCCTCGAGAACGTCATGCAACAACTGCAATGGGAAGGAATGGGAGTGAAGATAGATGATCGGCAACTACACCACCTCCGCTTCGCTGATGACATCATTCTAATAACACCAAACATTAGCCAAGCCCCACGCGGCATAAATGTTGGCCAACTTCGACCATGAGTGTGGAAAGGCTGGACTACAGCTGAATCTCACTGAGACAATGTTTATGAGAAACGGTCTTGTTCCTGTCGTTCCATTCGTGCTCAGCGGAATGAACATCTCCGAACGCAACTGTTATGTGTACCTAGGTCGAGAAGTCAACATGACAAAAGACCTGGTACCTGAGTTGTGCAGGAGGAAGAGAGTGGCTTGGAATGCCTTCAAGAGCATTGAAGAAATAGCTAAGAAGACAAAGAACCTCCGGCTCTGAGCACATCTCTTCGATTCCACTGCTCATCCTGCATTAACATATTTCTCAAAGACCTGGGTCCTACGAAAACAGGATGAGAACGCTATTCGGGTCTCTCAAAAAGGAATCAAAAGAGCTATGCTTGGAGTTATCATGCTTCACTCAAATGAGAGAAGGAATCCAGAGTTCTTCCAAGAATCAGGGATGTGGTCTCATTTGCCAAGGTGTCAAAAATCAGATGGGCTGGACACATAATGTGATTTGGAGATGACCACTGAACTAGAGCCATTACCAACGGGATTCCATGGGATGTCAAAAGATTGCATGGCCGCTCACCTACGAGATGCTCAGACTTCTTCGTAAAGACCCTAAACAACTGGTTTGAGGCTCTGCGTGTTCCTAGAATGAGCAGATGCCATTGGGCTACACTAGCACGCGACAGGGACAAATGGAGACGTTACTGGTGCCTGCTCAAGCAAATAGATAAGTAACAATGGGATGTCAAGTGATCAAGTGATTTATTGAATCACTGTGAGAACAGTTATAAAGCTTTCAGGCTTAAGTCTCAGTCATACAATGATCAAATACCCATCCCTTCACCAGTGCATATTTTCCACCATCAAGAACCCTAAAATACCCCCCCATCCTATCCCTCCCCATGCCTGAGAGGCAGATGACTTCCACTTAACTCTCTCTCTATTTTCATTACATTCATTATTTCAACAAAACATGCAGCATTATTATTTGGAATTATTTTAACCCAATAATCAGACCTGCTGAAAAGGCATCATGAAATAATTTGTTTTCTATTGCTGGTTATGAAGACTATATGATGTTGCTATTGCGGCTGCGTGATTTTGGATTTCTGCTATTTTACGAATTAAGTCTGGAGGGATTTCTGCCAAAAGCCACATAGTTCCGAGATTGGTGCCCCTGGGTTCATGGCCATGCTGGAGAGCTGCTCATCTGCTCATGGGGGGAAACTCGTGGTCTTGGTGGGGTGGAAAGGATGTGCCGGTCCCCCCCCCCCCCCCCATTCCATGAGGCCACAGTTGGAGAGGTAGTAGCTTCAGGTACTCTTGATGGGTCACTGCCAGCTCATACCTGGCTATCCAATAAGCTCTGTGCTGCCAGGGTGGGGTGGGGGGGGAGGAAGGTGGAAGAGACAGATATCCTTTTCCTCCCAGGAAGGGCACAGCACCATAACTTACTGCATAGTCCATTCACATTTCTGTCAAAAGCTGCTGGGTTCTGAATTAGGTCCGTGTGCCTCTGGGCCATGGCTGTGCCAGAGAGCTGCTCGTGGGGGGCAATTTGTGGTCTCAGTGGGGCAGGAAGCTCAGTTTCATCTCTTAAGCATAAACTCTGAGGGAAGTCGAGACTCCACCCAAGTCAGCAGGAAGGGGCAGTGGCAGGAACCATTTAGAACTCTGACACGGGCCTATGTGACAGCACAGCAGGCTGAGCAGTTGCCTTGCACACAGCCAAGCTGGGTTCAATTCTCAGCATCCTATATGGATCCCTGGGCACCATCAGGTGTATTCCCACCTTCCCCCCAAACAAACAAGCAAACAAACAAAAGAACTGCCACCAAAGAAAAAGCAGAATCACTTTCCCACCCAGATATCCTGAGGGAGCGCAAAACCACAGCACTGGAAGCTGCTTTCCCCTGCAGGGGGCAGCTAGGACAGCCCCAGCATGTGCTCACAACTGCCAGAGTGACCTGTGCTCACTGTGGCCCGAGCATCACCAGGGGCCACCCCATCCCTCAGTGCCAAGATGGGGAGCTTCCTATGGATGCCACCTCGACAGCAAAGCAGGCCACAGTGAGAGCCTGTGGTTCTCTCTGAGGTGGGGGTAACAGAAACGCAGAACTCAGGTTTTCGAGATGCTACCTGAAGGGGCTGGAGCTCATGCTTCTGCAGGCAGGTTTCACCCATGACCCTGAAGGGGTCCCTCTTCACCTCGGAGGGGTGTCCACACTGCAGAGTAGGGATTTGTGGGCAGGTTTCTGAGGAGGGCTGGGTACCACCCTGCTGAAGGCCACCCTGGCTGAGACCCTTGGAGACACTGGTCCCTTTCTTTGCAAAAGTTCCCTGGTGCTTGGGAGCTCAGACTCCGCCAGCAGAGGAGACCCCTTCTATCACTCAGAGCCCGGGAGCATGGGTCTCTCCTCAACAGCCCCAGACACCACCCTGAGGGCCATGGAGGGGTTAGAGGCTGACCATTTGTTGGTCCCTCAGCACATGCTCACACCTGCCAGAGAAACCCTTTGCTCACTGCAGCCTGAGCGTCACCAGGGGTCTCATTCAGAAGGCCACCCCATCCTGCTGTACCCCATCCTGCAAGGTGAAGAGCATCCTACAGAAGCCACCTTGACAGCAAAGCAGGCCACAGTGAGAGCCTGTGGCTCTCTCCGAGGTTGGTCTCTCAACAAGTGTCTTGAGAGGGGACAGAGGCCTGAGAGATCCTGGAATGCCTGCCAACCCACCAGCAGCACTGCCCCGCCAGGCCAGAAGGGGTTGGGGTTCAGCCGGAGGCAGATGGTCCCACAGTGGCTAAGGAAAAACCAGCACTGCACTGTGGGCTGGACCATGGCAGGAGGGAAAGAGGGTGCAGGGCACGGTGCATCTCCCACTCCTTGCTCTGTGCTGATGAGCAGCTGGCTTACCTCTTGGGATTTTAGTTTCTCCATCTATGCCACAGGACACGGATAACAATGTCTACCTCCTAGGGTTGTTGAGAGCACTAGAAGAAGGGCCTGAGAGATAGTAAAGGGGTGAAGGTGCTTGCCTTACATACAACCCAGCCATGATTTGACCCCTGGACCACATGGTCCCCTGAACAATACCAGGGGTCACTTCTAGTTGAGCACAGAGCAAAGAGCAGTCCAAAAGACCAATGGGTGTGTCTCCTCCAGGCCCCCCAAAAGGTATATACAAAGTGGGGTACTCAAACTTACGTCAAAATGGCAGTGGTCAGTATCACTGACACAGATCTGCTGGTATTGGTACGTGTCCCTCCCAAGCCATGAGCATCCCTGGATTGTGCCACACTAGGCCCCAGAATTCCTGGGGAGAATCCGTAAGCATCTCAGGGCCATGTGCTCCCCGGGACCAGCTACAAATCACCCAAGGCAGAGGTTCGACTTGGAAGGCATCCTGTGGACCACTGTGTAGGTGGAAGCACTGCTTGTCATACCTCGCCTCGGTTTCTATTGCCTGCACCTGCCCCCTCCCACACACCCTGCGGAGACCCCACATGTCCTGGGAAAGAAAGCAGGTGGGGGTGTTGCTTTTAGCTTGTAAGAGACAGGAAAAGTGCTGTTAATTATAAACTTGGGAAGCGGGTTCTGAAATAACAGTGTGGGAG